AGAAGAGGCCGGGCTCGGCTTGCCGAGGCCCTTTTATAGGCCGTCGGCGATCGGTGGCGTCGTTTTACTCCCGACTTCGGGAAGCTTCGGGTGAGCTTCGGGTGACTTCGGCTGGTGTCATGGCCGCCGATCTGCTGCTCGGGCCCTGTCGTGTGTGCCGACGCCATGCTTCGGCTGATCGGGCCTTGCCTTCGGGTGTTTGCCGAAGACGGTTCGGCTGGCCGTTCTTCGGCTCGATCGGCTGCCGGCTTCGTGTGTATGTTCGGCCGCTCTCGGCCGCTCGTTGTTTCCTTCGGCCGTGGCCGCTCGTGTGTGTGTTCGGCCGCTCGTCGTCTCTTCGTTGTTTTTCTCTTAAATCTCGAGCGCGTTTCTCTTAAACTTAGTCCCTAATTAGTGTGCCCTTCGTGGGTCTTAGTATTCGTCGCTTACGTCCTAATGTTTAATACTAAATGTAGATGTTCTTACGTGCTAAGGAGAAATGAGCTTAAATACTACATAATTGAAATGAACTTAAATACTATGAAATGGAAATGATCTTAAACACTACCAAAAACTGCCCCTGGTTGTGAGGCCTCCTCACACTCAATTAAACTGGTCAACTGCTTTGTCACCATAAAGAATTTTATGGACTCTTAATAGATGTAATAACTTTCTTGAATTATAGCTGTCATATTTTCGATCCTCATTTCTCTTTTTTAAAATGTTCAATGGCTAACTATGGATAGTGGTTTTTTGTCTAGTTCCTGCTTTTGTTGTTAGCTGTATATCCTTTGTAAACATTTTGACCTTTATTTTTCGAACATTTGATATGATAAGGTCTGCTTAATTGACACCTGTATTTAAAAATGGGCATGACATTGTTACCCTATACTTGGAAGATTTCCCATTACCTGTTGTACTGTGATTTCTCGATATCATTCGTTAAATTTTTTTTAAAGAATTTCTTAGTCCAAATATCCAATATTTTCTTTGGATATAAGTTCTCATTACCTTTATTTCACCATGTAAGGTTTCCTTACGATCATTTTTTATAATCAATGCAGCAATTTGCCCTTTGTCGAGAATAATTGGGTGTTTTACTTAAAAATTGGTTTTATAATTTTGCAATCTTCCACCAACTCTCTTAATTCTATCCTTATCTATAAATGGATGCTAACTTACCATTTTTAAATTCATTTTGATTTCTATATTGTAAAGCGTTCTGTTAGGCTTAGGATTAAATTGGAATTTCTTCTAATTTTTTACAATTATTTATTTTGCATATTTTAATTCTGTGATGGTTAAGAAGCACGGATAATATATACCTTTTGATTTTATATTAATAAATCTTAAAATGTAGCATATTGCCCTTTATAGTTTGTGGATGCATGAATAATTTTTCAATAGATTATAGATCTGAAATTTCACTTTCCTTTGTCCGCTTCCAATCCAGGCTAAAGTTATTGTGGAATCACTCCATGCGGATATTTTGAATCCATTGGTTATAGATTCTTTGATTTTTTGAACAAGTTTATTAAGTAAATGTGCTGCACACAATTCTAGCTTCGGAATTGTTTTCCTATTGTTCACGCATGAACACAAATATAGATAAGATGCATATGTCACGCATTAAATCTCTGCACTGTACTTGTATATCTTTAAGTAAACCCGCCACTTGGGCCTGTGTAATACAAGCAACCCGAAATATGACCTCCTGTGAGCGGTCTGGGTTTGTTCAAGATATGTGCTATCGGTTGCCTGTGTGCACACTTATCGCACTTAAAATATTTCCCACGATCGGGAACTGTCCGATGCGTGGGTCTAGAACTAATGTCTAAATGTACATTCTCATGTTAGCTATATAAGCTAGGATTGGAATGAAATAAAAAAGTTTGTTACAAAAACTCAGCAGATGAAGACTTCTAATTTATTTGGGATTTTTCACCTATTTTTAATCGGATTTACTCTGCTTTTGGAAGCCAGTATTATAATTGAATTTCCTACCTTAGCATAGACTATTCCAGCATACGCCTTTCCGATGAGTCGTCAAATCCGTGTAGTTCAACACTCGAATTTAAATTGCTTTGAATCCAACTTGGTATACTAATGTTTTTAAATAATAAAAGATGGGCATTATCATCAGATAAGTCCTGATCTCAGCTATTCTCAAAAAGCCAGAGTTTCTGCACAAAAAGTTTTCCATTAATGGTTACTGGAGCTAACCTAACCACCCTAAGGGATAATAAATTTTAGATAACGTGGACAACACAGTACGTTTGTATTCTTTTTTATAACCGCTTTGTTGACGCTAAATTTAAACTCATCTGGTTGGGGCTCCCATTGAAGACCCAATGTTTTGACAAACTCGATATCTTCAATATACAATTTGTATATCATATTTATTGCGTCTTCTATTGTATTGACTCCTGTCATAAGATCGTCCATGTATAAGTCGCTTCTAATTACCCTGCAGTACCATTCATCAACATTTTATCAACGTTTCATAAGTAGCCGAAGGGGTGTTGTTGCTGATTCATCGATAAATTGCCATACAAACTGTTGATGAATTTAACATGGGCATGTCCTAGGCGGTCATCAACAGCAATTCATCAACATTTCATCGATGAATTGTTGATGAAATGTTTATGAATTGAATATGAATAAAATGTTGAAGATTCATCAATGCAATGTTGATGATTTTTTTTCATACATATGAATATAAAATTAAATTCTTAAACTTTTATTACTATTATTTATTCTTACTAATTCTATACCAAAACTAAAACACAAATATAAACAATTACAATTAAACATAATCCATATGTATGTATACTGGATTCCCAGCCACCAAGGCATAGACGGTAACGAGACCGCGGAGGAACTTGCAAAAGAAGGCGTCGGACTGGCAAGTGAAAGAGCAGATAATGTCCCTGTCTCCCTAAGAACACTCCAAAGCGAGCTAGAGATACGGGCTGACGCAAGCGCAAAAAGCAGGTGGAGAAGTAATCCCACAACCTGCAAAAAATCTCACTACGTGACTGCAGAATGTAAGTGGGTATTCTAAGAGGTCACTGCCTGTCTGCTCATGCAGTCAAGCTGGGTATTACCGACAACGCCAAATGCCGGAAATGTGATGAATCCGAGGCAACCGAAACCTTGGAGCATCTCATTTGCAAATGTCCGGCCCTAACGAGGGCAAGAATGAGACACCTAGGCTCTCCAGTTCTGGCATCGCTAGAAGATGCATCCAGGAAGAAGCCAGGCGAACTCCTTGCCTTTACGAAACACATCTTGATTTTTAAGGATCTCGAAACCCGCATTAATAGTCTCTAGGTCCATCCAGGAATTTCCCCGGATAGCTATGTGTTGCCCCTCGAGGGCCGTCCGGACTAACCTGACCGAACCTTCCATAGCTAACCGTAGAACGGAGCTTGGAGTTGTATTTATTAATTACCTTATAAACTGTGAGGTTGTAGGTAGGACGGTAACGGTATTACGTGCAGATTGCAAAGGCTCTTTGATATCATTGTATTTAGTGATAGCCTTCCCTTAAAACCTTAAACCTTAATTAGTGATATATTAACTAATTTTTAAATTTCCTCGTTCTTTTATCTTCTGTCTTTCTAACGCGTATATCTAGTTAGTGATTCCTACCGTACGTCACACTACCCCCTCTCGGTCGGTTGGGTGGGAGGTTAGCGTGTGACTTTTCGAGAAATACATTTTTTTTTTGCCATTCCGTGTTTTTTATTTTGCTATTTTTTTCAATATTTTTACGTTCAAATAATTTCTGTCTACACGCTGCCCACAAACGTATTAACTACAGTTCTACAGGCTAAACTATCAGTTTAGATCTCATGATCTCGATATATATAATTAATATTTTTGAACTTGTTATTTATATACACATTTTTCCCCGTATTCATTAATTACACAGGTACACAGCCAAAAATTTCCACGAACCATTTCAAGTTTTCCATAATATTTGGGTGCTCCTGAGTAAAAGTCCCATACAAAATTATTTTCCATCACCTACAGGTTCCGCGGTATACCTATGAATACAAAAAACCGATGTTTGCCGACATTTTAAATTACGTGGCCTATATAATTGGACTTACTTTTATTATTTTCGGTAGGACCTACTCTCAATACATCACGGCACTACTAAAAAATAGTCCCAATCGTGGACCATTGCCCATGTCTTTGGAATTCGACGCCAAAGTTGAAACTCCCAAAATTTTCAACATTTCTGTGATGAAAAAATAATTCTGAGAATTAAATCTTATATGGAACTAATTTTAAATATTCATTGAATCTATTGTTCATTGTATTCTTTAATTTCGGTTTAAAGCGTTTTCATGAGGACATTTTATTGGATTTATTAAACGAATAAAACCGCTTTTTTGGTTTGATTATCTACTACTATTTTCTGTCAAAATTCAAATAAGTCAAGACAACCTATAGAATGCGAGTAAATATGTATCTTTTTATATATAATATAAATTTAGATTTTTTACTCGCATTCTATAGGTTGCCTTGACTTATTTGAATTTTGATAGAAAATAGTAGTAGATAATCAAACCAAAAAAGCGGTTTTATTCGTTAATTAAATCCAATAAAATGTCCTCATGAAAACGCTTTAAACCGAAATTAAAATTATCGCAATTTCGATATTTGGACAGACAAAAAATTACGATATATATATATATATATATATATATATATATATATATATATATATATATATATATATATATATCGTTAAAATCTATATTTTGATATATTATCAACAACCCTTTCTTCAGGCAATCAAATCAAGCTCTTATCTCAACCTCTCATATTCCTATGTAGATTATTATACCCAACAAATGCTTTGCTACTGGTTTGGAAATCGGGCTTATAAAAGGTACTTTTAATTGCTTGACCTGTAATAAAATTAATAAAAACTTAATAAAAACTTAAATACTCAGTCAGAACTTAATTTATTCACTCACAATATAATCCTATGTATATTTACATACCTTTCAATTGCGCTAATATTGCCGGTACGCTCAGAGAATTCCTTAAATTCTTGAATTGATTTAATATTATTAAGAAGTGTTTCTCCGTGTTCAGCTGCCGCAAGTATTTCTATCTAAAAATAAGTAAGTAAGTAATATAATCGTAAAAATAAAACATAAAATCACCTTTAACCGATCATAGTCGATGGATTGATTGTCTAACAGCTGTCTCGTCGTTTCCACAGAATTTGGAAGTTCTGTATCGTGTATGGCTTGTAAAAATGAATCTAATTCTCCAGAGACCTTGTGCGTTAAGCCTGAGAACTTTTCTAACGACTGTTAAAGAAGAATACAGTAAAAAGAAAAGTTTATAAGTAAATAAGTACATCAATAAAAATATATATTATACATATATATATAATATATCTATATCACTCATGTCTAGTACTTTTTTCAGCTTATATTGTTTTTGAAATTGCTCTTACTAAGGCAGAGCAGCCTCGTATACGTAAGCTACTCACTGTCTTTTGAAAGAAAAAAACTATTTTGAGATTTCTCCACAATACAAAAATCCATTACTTTGATAAGCTTTACTCTGGTAAACCGAAAGGAAGTTGTCGTTTCATTGCAGAAAGATCCTTAGTGAGACAAATCACTTGTTCTTTTTGTTGTTGAAAACATTGTTAAAATAACCCAGGTAGCAGTAATCTTAACTTTTAGCTTGCAAAAATCCTTTAGCTGAACGCTTCACGAAGGCGCCGTCTGGGCAATGGGCACGGTATTATCCCGGACAACGGGTAATGCATTTCTGCTTGCTATGTCCGCGATAATACAGTTCCAAGCTAAGGCTTCCGCCCAAAAATCAGGATGAAATGAACCTTTAGCCATGGTTGGGAGGCTAAAATCGGAAGTCGGAAGTACCAGTTTATTCTGTATGGACGAACCAAAAAAGTCAACCGTGGCTGGGATATCAGCCTAAATGTCGGTGGAAGGCGTGACTTCTACCATCAGCGGGCAAGGCGGGGAGCAATCCTCTCCGCGAGTCGCCAGCGGTCACACCTCTGATATGACGGAAGCAGTCAGTCAGTGCGCCGTCAATACATACATGGGCCAGGAGAGCTTGCAGCTCACTCCACAGCAGCTGCCTGCTCAGGGACGGGCCAAAACGGTCGAGCGAGGGAATGAAGGCGAAGGCGCAGTAAAAGGCTGCCCCCAAGGTCCAAGGCTTCAGGACAAGGCCAATCTCTCCCAAGAGGAGAAGGGCATTTTAGCCTGGGCCTGGAGAATCAAACAGGGTTGACCACACTAGGCCAAACATCCTCACATAGTCTCAACGGGCGGATCTGCCCACATGGTGAAGGAGATGCCTGCCAGCAAAAGGCAACGGCGAGCAAACGGCAACGCCATAATTGTTGGTGTTATTATACCCGGTTTTCCTGACAATGTGGTGTTTTCGCATTTTCTGAGAATATCACAATATTTATGACCGTATCTTCTGCAGTTCCAACACAATAGCTTATTTTCATTGTCAATTTTATCTCCTTGTATTTCACAAACTTATTCTTTTAAGTATTCATAGACGCTTTGTTCGCCTTTGTTCTTATTTGATTCACTTTCCGAGAATCTCAGCCATAATGTGCTGGTTCTTCCACGGAAGGATTGCAGAATATTAGTGGGAATTCTAACAGATCACTGCCTGTCTGCTGCATATGCAGTCAAGTGAGAACGCCAAATACCGGAAATGTGATGAATCCGAGGCAACCGAAGCCTTGGAGCATCTCATTTGCAAATGTCCGACCCTAACAAGGGGAAGACTTTCCGGTTCTGGCATCGCCAGAAGATGCCCCCAGGAGGAAGCCAGGCAAAAACACCTTGATCTTCAAGGACCATGAAAACCGCACAAATAGTCTCTAGGGCCATCCAGAAATTTCCCGGAAAACTAAGGGCCATATTGGCCTATGCGTGGCCCCGAGAGGTCCGTGATCTGATTTGCAACGAACTACTATAACATAATTACCATGCGTTTCATTAATGCAGAAGATGCTTCTACGAGGGTAAGTCATTCCTCACTCTGTGAGTCCGTACCGCGAGAATATATTTTTTTCTTTTAAAATTTTTTGTTATTTTCTATGACTAGTGAGAGTAATTTGAAAACTGAGAAACTAGATGACATAGAAACGGACCGTCGCGACAGTTATGGCTAGATCGACTCGCCTGTTGATGCTGATAAAGAAGATTCGGAAATGGCTCTTCACTGCGTTGCAAATTTCGGACTTAAATTATAATACCGTGCAGGGGTATACAAATTATTACTTTGATTTTCAACAAATTTTCATCTACTCTGAAATATGAGCATATCCTATTTTAAAATTTTGGTTTAAATTTTATGAAAAGCCGACGACTATATCATAAAGCTGCCATAGGAACGATCAGTAGATGTAGCGAAAAAATATTAAGCTGGCAGTGTAAAACTGTAAATATAATATGTATAGGTAAATGCAACTTAATATTACTTCGTCTTTTTTCGGCATATTTTGAAAATTTTAAAGTAAAATTTAGTATTTTTTACGATTTAAAATAAATGTTTTTCAAAGTTTATCGAAACCCAAATTATTATATATATCTTTCATATATCTCCAGTTAGTTTGACGAAAATGGATTGATTCTTTAATATTCACTTCTAAACTGCAAGGGTTTACAAACTTCTGTGCGCCAAAGTTTGATATATTTTTTGTTATAGTATATGTAATTGAATTGTAAATACTTCTTGGCCTCGGCCTTAGAACACTACTGTAAATTTATATAGTAAGTGTTATTTTTCTTACTGGTACAGCATGCTTTATTAAATATTTACCATTCTTTGTTGTATCCATTCATGATGGGAATAGATTAAATTACCACCCATATCTGGGGTTAATTGATTGATGTCGACTAATTCGTGTAAGTCAGAAAGAGTAGAGCAAATCACAAGACGAAATTTATAGTCCTCTTTTGAAAACTTGCTGCTTACTTCTGATAAAGCCTTTTGAAACAATCCAGATGGACGAAGAACATATACAGCATTAAGAATCCCCGGAAAGTAGGCCTTTAAAAATATGTAAATGTATTACATGTGTCATAATTATAAAGTGTAAAGGTGACTACCGATATTTTCTGTAAAACAGTTTTTATGGAAGTCCACCTGTCTTTTCGTCGATCCACAATAAGCTGAAAACCAAGGTCGGCATCCTGTAATCTATAAAAAAAAAAAGTTAATCCTAAGACAAGACATATTTAAAATTTATGTTAAATATACTATGCAAGGAATCTGATTTCAGTAATCAAAAAAAAAAAAAACAATAAAGGAAGCTAACTTCGGCACGCCGAAGTTTGTATACCCTTGCAGATTGGTTTCGATGTTTATATTATAGATTTAAATGCTGAAAACACTCACAAAACAGAGTTTCATTACATTTTACCTATACTTATTATGTTTACAGTTTGACAGTTAGAGTTTTACAATCCCAGCTTTACATATTTTATACATTTACCGATCGCTTCTATGGCAGCTATATGATATAGTTGTCCGATTTTTAAAAAATGTATACCAAAATTTTAGAATAATAAAAAAAGCTTATATCTCAGAGTAGATAAACATACGTTGAAAAACAACGAAGCTATAATTTTCTTCTTATTTATTTCTCGATTTATTTATTTATTTTTTATTATTTATTTATTTCTCTATATCATATAGTCGACCGATTTTCATAAAATTTTTACCGAAATTCTAAAATAATAATAAAATGACCCTATCTAAAAAATTATGCAAAAATGTTGAAAAACAGCAAAGTTATAATTTTTTTTCTAAAAATATATCCAACATTTGTATGGCAGCTATATGATATAGTCGTCCGATCCGGCCCGTTCCGACATATATAGCAGTGATAGTATATAGAAGACTATATGCAAAGTTTCATTTAGATAGTTTTAAAACTGAGGGACTAGTTTGCGTAGAAACGGACAGACGGACGGACGGACAGACGGACATGGCTAGATCGACTCGGCTGTTGATGCTGATCAAGAATATATATATATATATATACTTTATAGGGTCGGAAAGGTATTTTTCACTGCGTTGGTAAGGTATTTAATTTTTTTTATCGTAATTTTTTTTTTTTATTTTTTATTTTGAAAGTTCAACATCTTAAGAATATTGTGTCCAAGTTTTACATCGATCATAGGAAAATTGACGAAGTTATGCGGAGTTGAACGAAGGTCGGTTGGTGTTCAATGCATGAGAATCACAAAGTTTAAAGCGCTCTCCTGAAAAATTCAATTTTTCAAATCGGTGTACACGATTACAGAAAAACTACTGGACCGATCGATTTGAAATTTGGCACACACATTCTTTAACTAATTTCTCAGGTATTCACGTCGGCCTTTTTTTAATTTTTAATTTTTATATATTTTTAAATTAAGAAATAACGTTTTTTTTTTAGTCTAAAATCGGGTTTTTGACTTTTAAATTTTCTAAAAAATCACAAAAAACTAAAAAAAAAAAACGCTTCCTGAATACCTCGGGACACTTATCCTTTAACGAATGAGGTATAATTTTTTTAGATCGGATGATCCTGTGGACTGTTAGGATGTACACCGCAAAACAACTTTTTTTGTAGGCGACTCGGGAGATTCCCTATAACTTCTCTACCTCTAAATATTTTTCAATACAAAATTTATCAAAAATTATTCAAATGTTGTGTTATTATATGGTATTTAATTTATTAAGCTAACTTTAGCCGTTCCGCCACAATAATTTTGAAAAGTGGCCATTTTTGCACCGAATTAACCGAATTGTACATAATTGCATACAAAATGGATTATAAAAACTTTCTACGATTCAAAATTTTTATTTGAAAACCCAAGGCGTATAATCCAATCCCAATTCACTTCTCCAAAGGAATAGATAACCGGAAATGAGTATCTTGCTTGCGAAGATTTGGAAGCCCTTGAACCAGAATGTTGAATGCGCTTTTATTTACACGGAAACTTTCTTTACAAAATTCGTCTGAATTTCTGGCAACATCCTCATCTCAAAATGAGCCGAATCGTGGCTGTTGTAATTCGCTAAAATTATTATATAATAATGTTATTTCGTAATGAGTTAGCTGATTTTTCCTACAAAAGTCCAAACGCTGCGATTTTGCAGCAACTCGAAGGTTGCTGGAGACATCCCAGTCAAATCCATGAACTTTATCATGGTAATGCCCATATGATACTCTAATGCAGTTTTCATTAATTAACTACTTCATTAGAACCTTGAAAGAGACCACTATATGTGTAATTTTGTGTAATTTGGCTTGGATTTTGCTTGGATTATTTTGGTAATACGACTACGGTCACACCGACCGTAAAAGGTAAAGCCTAGTACTCTGACGAGAAAAACCCGCTGTCTAAATTAGACAGCGGAATCGCTGTTTATTTCGCTACCGAGCTAGTGTGACCAAAAAAAAATTAATGAAAATCCTGAAATGCCATGAAAATGTACTTATTATGGCGTTTAAGGATTTTCTTTGGTCACACTGGACAGCTGTTTGTAAACAAATATTCAATAAAAAATATTAAAAATATGGCATTAAAATGTCCTTTGTGGGTTAAATTCCATATTATGGGCTTCCCCTTGACAGCCCCTATCAATGCCACCTTTTTCCTTCAACTTTCCCTCCATTAAGGGTGTCTAAATAAATCAAATGAATTATTTAGACAGCGAGATATCAGCTGTCTTGATCTTGATCTTTCGTCGTCAGAGTACCGGAAAAAACGACGTGGCTAAAAGTTCTTCTTCTTCTTTTTTCGACACCGTTTTTTTTATATGGAGTTTGGCCGCTGTCTAAATTTATACAGCGGATTTTTCTCGTCAGAGTACTAGGCTTAAACCAAAAAAACGGCCGCCATTCGCGGCGTATTATTATGAATTTCTGAATTCCTCGTCGAAATATTCTTGCATAAATAAATGCAGAATCCTTTAAATTTGTGTTTTTAACCTAAAATGCTTAAAATTTTTTAAATTATTACAAAAAATATAATTTTAATTAATTTTACAGCGCAAGAACCTTGCTACCGCAAAACATATTATTTTTGCTAATTTTCTAATATATTTTCAGTTCAAAAAACAAGCGAAATGATATAAAAATAAAATTCTCATTGTGAGATCATACTGTCAATGAGCTGGCTAATACATTTTTCAATTACAATTTTCTTCATTAAACCCGTATTTTGTTATCGAGTATCTAGTATATAATATGTAGATCTATCGATTATCGCGGCAATGAAGTAGCTAATGCATTATTCTAATGCATTAGAGCGCCATATAGTCGTCTTGCTCGCACTTGTGTAAAACGCTATAGTGCTGTCAAATCTCTAATTAATGCGGCAGTGTCATGCCAGTATAAGCGATTTTGCGTGCGGTTGCGGTCAAGTATACAGAAGCAATTGAACTGGCGAAGAACAGCGTGCAGAAAAGAACAAAAATGCAAAGATCGCGTGATGCGCTAATACATAGACTGCTGCATTTTCGGCTATGCGTGTGAGCTTTAAGCTTTCATAAAGTAAACAATACAGTGATGCGCAATTAACTAGGTGCGATTATATGAAATTAATAACAAGTAAAGAAGCAATGAAAATGACCTATCTATTTCTCAACAGTGATAAAAAACAAAATTATGAAAATTGGTCAACAAGAACAAGAATAACAACTGAAAGAAGTTGGGATGTGCAAATAATTGTGCATTTGTGTAAATACTTTTAACTACCTTTGTATGCTGCTTTTTTGGTGTGTGTGTGAGCTTGAAGATTGGATATAGTAAACAAACTCATGGTAAACATCAAACTAGATGCGAATATATGCAAATAGTAACAAGTAAATAAGCAATTGCAATTATTATAACAATATTGATATTTAAATAAATGACAGTTATATATATAATTAATATTATATAATTAAATCACTTGCGAGCAGTGCCATAAATACTTACGATGGTACTGATGTTAGATAATGAATAATTTTTTTATAGTCGGCATCCTCTAAAAAATTAAAATTATTGTTATCCGGAAAGGTGATTAACGGGCATCCGTCAGGAGAGCGTCCACCGGTGATGATGACATGTTGCGATTGCAAAATCTCAGCCACATCGGCTATGCTGAACGCGGCAGATATTTTAGCATTCATTAGCTCCATTGGCCTTTGCAAGCTTATAGCATTTATAGCACCTTCAATTTCTAGAGAGTTAACTGATAAAATCGAATCGCTGGTGTGTTGCAATTGTTCTCCCCCAGAGTAATGTGAGGGTGAATTAGTGAGGGACTGAAAGAATGCCGTCTGAGCGGATGCCCCACTGCTCACTGAAATCTGCGAATCAATCATATGCTGATTAATCTGTTGATGCTGTCGCTGAATATATTGTGTTGGCTCAAGTGGTGATAAATGTGTCTCCGTCGGTGAAAGTTCAGCATCCTTTTCTATTGTGTAAAAGGAATAGAATAAAAAATGAAAATAGATAAAAGAATAATTAGGTATTATATTTAGGGTATTAAGAAAAAGATAGAAAGTTAACTTTCGCAAGCCGGATATTAACACTGGAAACTTTTATAAGGGGGAACAGATGACCGCGTCATCTGCCCTAACTGTGTGCACCGATTGCGTATGAAAGCAGGTCCTCGGTCGAGTTCGATCGGGGATGCTGACTATTGGTAGTCGGGCGGTCCTAGGCAACTCTTAAGCACGCCTCCCCTTAAGTCAGTGATGACTTCCACAGCTAATGGTTAAAACCAGCTGCGATATTACGGAGCCTTCTCATGGCCGGGCATCGAGAGATGCCTTGCCGTGGCCTTGGGGCGAAGACTTCGGCTTCTTCAAGTCCACATCGCCCTTCTGACCCGCTCGCCAGGCAGAGCAAAGCGGGCGATCATGTATAATAATGAATTATCAACGCCGTACTTCGTACCTTGTAGGAAGGCTAACCCCAAAAATGTTCAGAGATGGACGGTAAGAAGCTGCTAATGCCTAGGCAGGGCTTAGAATCTCAACCAACATAGGATATTGACGAAGAAGAGCTGCTGATGCCAAGTCCGGTCATCAACGTTCAGTCAAAATCCAAAAGGGGCCACTAGTACCAGCACTCCCCAAGTCTAAACGCAAGGTGTGGATCAGTTGGGCACCACCGCAGTTGACATCAACAGCGGCAAAAACGATACGCTGTTACATTAAGTTCGAAAAAATCAGATGGCTTATGCCTCTGATTGATGACGGTCGTTAGCTGTCGGAGAAGTGAGAGGAAGCTAAGACCAAGATGGCCGACACGCTAAACGACAGGTTGGTTGCCATGCAGGGTGATCCTATCCCTTGCTTTGACTCTGGACCTTCGACATAGTGAGGGGGCACCGTATAATTAGGTGCAACAACGGGTTCTCGAGTAGCTTCCAGGAAAGGTGTGTTGCTAAAACTAGCACCATTGGGTACGGCCTTAGGATTAGGTTGGTCAGACCATGCAAGGGTGGTCAAATATATGAGAGCGCAGAATCCAGACATCCGTACAGAGGACTGGGCCATCCTAAGGGCGAAAAAGAAAATGAAGACGAAGTCAGCCATTTCTACATCTCATACACGAGCACAAAATCCGATACGGTATCAGAAGGGCCAAGATCGAGATCTTCTTAGCCGAACCCGACGAATTACTAGAGGAGGTAGATGACACGAACAAGTTGTTGGATGACATGATCATCGACAAGTCGCCTGACTCCACGCAGAAAAACATCGATGTCATCAATAGTGCAAATTCATTTGAAGCGCAGGTCTCACGCTTCTGATAATTTGACGATCTATCTTCAAGAACTATGGCCTAGGGACGAGCAAGTCTCTGGTCTATCGAGCCGGGATAAGCTTTACTATACACATACTCGAAGGGTAGGACGAGATCATGTATAGTAATTAAGACTCATTTTAACTCTATTCTCTGTTTCAGTCATAGTAAATCGGACCTAGCAGTTGCCAGGTTCGTAAAAGCGGGACAGGAATGCTAATTATATTAGCGTACATGGCCCATGACGATCCGACTCCACCAAGCTGCTGACCAACCTTTGTATTTCCGAGCACGGCGGTTGTTCAAGGGTGGGAGGAGGTGTTAGATCTCACCTTAATCGTAGAACACCCGAGAATTGGAATGTGTCGCTGCAACATTCCTTATCAGACCATAGGAACATTTTTTTGGAGATATCGGTACCGGTGTGCAAAACGGAGCCGAGACGCAACGCCCACAATGTAAACAACGCCTTCAATGAGATATGTAAGGTATCAATTTCAAAGAAGCAGTATCCACAATGGTTGATCAAGGAGTATGAATATCAACATAAGTTATGTCTCTAAAGAATGGACGCCTTACAAGGAGGCACGAAAACAACAATTTAATTATAGAAGACATAAAGGACACAACACTTCATGAAGTGGTAAGAAATGTCGAGAAATCACTTAAGTACAAATAATACGCGATGGCAACCTTCTTAGACATAGAAAGTACGTTCAATATCGTGAACGCCGAATCCATACTGTGCTCTCACAACTTAATGAGTATTGAGAGAGGCATCCGAGAGTGGATAGGTGCTCACGAGTCGGACGATCATAGCCGAACTCGGTTGCACTCAGGGAGGAGTCTTGTCGCCGTACTTTGGCTTATATATCTGAACCACATATTGAAATAGCTCAACAGTATGTAAGTAAAAGCAGTAGCATACGCTGATGGCGTAGTGCAACTAGCGTCAGCTCCTTTCCCGGACATCATAAGTACAGGGTGCGCCATCTTTTATGTGGGTATTTAAATATCGAATAACTTTGTCATAAGTGAATCAATTAATTTGAGTAGAAAAGCTCGTTTCAGCAGAATTTTAATCATGGATCGCTTTACTCCAAAAGAACGCTCTAAAATAGTGACGCTTTACATTGAAAATAGTCGTTCAGTTGTGTTGACTCAAAAAAGGCTAAACAGATCGGACCCAGATTTCCAGATTTAACACCTCCGGACTTCCTTTTGTGGGGCTATTTGTAAAGCGAAGTTTACGCCAGCAAGCCTCAAACCATTGACGAGATCATGGCTAATATTCGTGCAGAAATCATCGCTATACCACATGAGACACTAGAAAAAGTCATGGAAATGCAGCAAAAAGGGCACATTTTGTGTGTCAAATAAAATCGGCTACTTGATTGATATTGTTTTCAAAAATTAGTCTGTAGAATTTTTAAAGAGCCAAATTAAATAAACTTTAAAATCGGTTGTTTATTTTCAAAGATATTCAATATGCTGACTCACTCTGGTGGTGAAAAACATGGAAAAACGGGATATAAAAACGAGTCAGCCATACTTAAACGATGCTTTGAAAAGCTGAGAAAATCCAACCACAAGGTCCCTTATGACATCAGAAAGGCCGAGCTAAACGATGTCCTCGTGGACGAACTCGATGATACCATAAACTATTGGACTACTTTGTCATTGACGAACCACACATATTGACGAACAGCCACCCTACAAAACCCAGCAATAATGCCGACCGTCGTGCAAATTTATCTGAAACACCCTTAGAAGGGTGTGACTCTAACGATATTCACACATAGTGAATGAGTTGTGAGGGGAGGTTAAAAGTTAAAAACTCGTCGGGGACATAACGAGCATTCTTAACATCGCGTACAAGGAGTCATGCAGACTCACGTACTCCAGAAGAAAAAAACGTGGTAGCTTTTAAAACAATTACGGAACCAAACACAGGTGACCGTACAAGGAATTAGAATACAAAAAAGCACTATACGCAACCATGAAGAAATATTGGCGCAGTCAGCGAAAGAGTCCCTTGAGATCCTGCTGGATACACACATCCCAGGCAACCATTAAGAAAAACCCTCCACGTAGCGTCTGTCCCAAATTGGGCGGCTATGTTGCAAAGAGAAAGACGTGAAATTTCGACCTCCGCACAAAACTTAAAATATCACTACCAAGACACCAATTCTATTGCTGAGTTTCAGCACATAGCTCCATAAAGTCGTGAAATATAAGTATTTTGTGCATTTAAGACAGTGTGTCTTCTTAAAAGTTGACAAAACTTAATTTCTTTAAAACCAAACCAAAATCAATAACACAAACGTTAAAGAGTAGAAAACAAACTACACCGGCACTTTACAAAAACAAAACTATTAAAACACTCAACCAAAACACAAAGCAATAAGCGCGAATCCGAAACACTATAATATCACTCAATTCAACAAAAGCACTCAATCTACAAAACAACAACAACATGTCATCTGCTAAGAGACTGCGAGAGCGTTCCAACACGGAGTTGAAAGCGCCCGATGCCACATCGACTCAAAGGATATCCTTTCCAAGGAGCTGCGGGAAAGTGAGGCACGCGTTCTCTGCAACCTTCAGGAGAAGTTCCAGGCGATGGCAGCATGGATAACCTCACTCAAAGAGTCACTCAAATGGAGAATGAAGTAAAGAAGGTAGACGAGCTGCAGCAAAGGGTCCAGGAATTGGGGAGCCAATTGTCAGCAAAGGGCTCTGCCAGTGGCCTAGTAGGACAGTTGAAGCAGCAAGTCGTGGACTTGGACGCAAGGCTGGTAGCCAAATGCATCGCAGAAGAGGAAGCTGCGGTCGCAACCAATTTGCGTTGGCATGGTGTCCCACAGGTCGAAGGCGAAAACTTAAAGACGCTATACCACAAGCTGTGCTTCTCGCTGAACTTAACTCCGCCTCCTCCTGTAAGGTCCGTTTTCCGCACACGGCCACGTCGATCGGGTCAAACATTTGTAGAGCCGGTCATAATTATAAAATTCGAGCACGTGCTCGCCAATGCGGAGCTACTGTGAGCAATAGGGGCATACCGGCGAAACAACTACAAACAACTAAGCCTGCAGCTGATCGGGTTTGATTCGCCTGCTCTAATATATGTAAATGAGCAGCTGACGAAACACAACTACGATATATTTAAAGAGGCCATGCGATGCAAAAAGCACAACCAACTCACAGGTGTTTTTACACGACGTGGTGTGGTGTACGTGAAGCTGAGCGACGGAGGGGAACCTCGATATGTGCAAAGCTCACACGAGCTTTCTGAGCTAATCAACGATGCTGGCGGCACCGATAAGAGCACATTTCGAGATTAAGACGCTTCACTCAATTTTGTATCTGCTATGTTTACTCATAACTATAATTATTATTAGATTTAAATTAATGTAGGTCGCTATGTTTTCTTTGTGTCCTTTCCAGTATGTTTCCAATGCCTTAATTTATGTATAATATCTGTGCAACAAGTAATTTTTCTTATATATTTGAAATGGAAGGCAGTGTAGTTGTATCCCATAGCCATACCTTGCTGCGCATACTGGCAAACCAGAGATCTGGCCTTAAAATTTGCCACATAAACGCTCAAAGCAATTTTTGTGTCTAAAAAATTAAAGACAAAGTTCGTATGTAAGTATC